GATTTGCACGCGGAACCCTTCCACGTCTGAGTGTTCTTCCTTGCCGCTCCCCCTGCGCGGCCGCCCTCGTCCTTCTCTCTCTCTCTGTCTCTTGCATGCCTGCCACTTAGCCATTCGGTGGCCCCGAACTGCCACACGCTGGAGCGGACCGCCTCTGCCTCGCCGCCGACGGAATCATGTTCGTGCATGCGTTTGTCGTGATGGGCCTGTTTGCCACCACCGCCATAAGTTGGGGAAGGAGGAGGAGGAGGAGGAGGAGGAGGAGGAGGAGGAGGAGGAGGAGGAGGACCCCCCCCCTCCAACTTATGGTGGTGGTGGAAAACACGCCCATCATGTCGTCCTCTGGATGAGTTGCATTGAGATCTGGCCAGGAGTGCCGTCGGGTGCATCACACCGCGAGAGGGCCCAGGAGGGGCATCAGGACGCGAGCGTCCCGTGCGAGGCTCAGACGCCACCGCAGGGCAGTGTGTGCTGCGTCGTCGGTTTCGGCCGACGCCGGCCTCCATCCCCATCCCTACAGTGGTCCGAGGTTGATAGACCTCCTACACTTAAATCGGGCCCGTCCCTCTACAGGGGGAATATTCAGAAATTGTCAAAACATAGTCTGGGGACTTTTGAATATGTTTGGGGTATTGTTGGGGTAGTTTTAATTTGTCGTCCAAAATTCGCCTGTAGAGGGACACGCCCGACCTAATCCTACCCTGACGCGTCGATTACGGAAAAAACCGTTTTCGGTTCGCGAGAGGGCGTCGCGGCCGCCATGTTTGCGGGTCCAGGTCCGTCTGTTTCGGTCTTGGGCCGTTTTCACTCAGAGGAGGTATACTGAAGGGAGGTCTGTTTACCGCCGAAGTGGGGGCCAATTGATTCGCGCCCAATGCAGCCCCAGAGACGCGATGACCCCCGCCGATTGCATCCGCAGAGACGCGATGACACACCGACTGCGCGTCACCACCCACCAAGCCAGGTGGTCTGGTATCCAGTCGGCCCGGATCAGCAGGTCGACCCTGCCAAATCAAGGGTACCCTCGTGTCCTGTGCCTCGCCGCCCGTGCTCCCTTGCCCTCCTCTGGCGATGTGGCCCTCGGGAGGGTCCTGTGCCCTCTCGCGTGTCCTTCCGAATGACGTCCGACTGTACCTTTTGGTCCCCCCCAGGGGTGGCGCGCTGCCGGGGGAGGGTCGACGGGCCTGCCGTGGCCCCAGGCCTGCCCTCGCGCCGCGCAGCCAACGAAAAAACCATGGCGGAAGGCTTCTTTGGTCGGCTGCGGCCTCCCGTGTGCTTGCGTCGAGGACCTTCGCTGCTCGCCTCCAGGCGGAGGGCGGCACCACCCAGACTGTCTCCAAGCAAGGCCGACTGTAGGTACTGAGCTTGGCATCGCTCGGACGTGTGCAGCGTTCCTTCGGCGAGGTCCATCGAGGAGCATCCCTGATCATTTCGCGAAAAAAAAAACCACGCACGAAGCCGAAAAAAACACACAGGAAATTGACGTCCGAGCGATGGCCAGTGATCCAGCGAAGGCATCTATACACCACCACCGTGCCAGGCCAGGGCCAACTTGGGCCCCAGGATGGTGTGTAGACCCGCCCGGCCTCGGCCAGGATGGCGTGTGCACCATCCCAGGGCCCAGGGTGGCCCTGGCCTGGCACGGTGGTGGTGTAGAGATGCCTTCTGCGTAAGTGAGAGGGGCAGGGCGTGTCGGCCGCAGGCGGCGCCTGCGTTGTCGTCCCCGGGCTGCGCGCGCCCGGGCGCCCTCGGCCGCGCGCCCGCGGCGGGGCGGTGCGGCGCGGGCTGTGCGGGCGCGGGGCGCGCCCCGCCGAGCGGCAGAGGGGCGTGGCGCTCGGCCTGCCCTCCAGGGTGGAGGCGGGCCGGTGCCTCTGCTGCGGGCAATGTCTATGTGCACATCCAGTGCGTCTTGGAGTTTCGACTCTCCTCCCAAGAAACATGAGGCGCACTGGATATGGATACATCATCTGCCTCCAAAAGGCTCGGTTTTTATCCATATCCAGTGCGCCTCGGCCTTGCGGCGCCCCTTCCAAGAAAGTCCAAGACGCACTGGATATGGATATAAATATTGCCCGCATCTACAGGAGGAATAGGCAGAGATAGCTCGAGAAATTCGGGGGCGGCAGAGAGGGGGGGATGACTAGGGGGGGGGGGGATATCATGGCGGGGGCCATGGTTTTTTCTTCGGCTTTCATGGCGCCGCTTCTTCTTCCATTACGTCCCTGGCCTCCCCGATGGGCCGCGCACATGCCGCCGGTCATGATTTGCACCCCCCCCTCTTGGACACCCCCTTTCTTGACCGCTCCCGAGAAATAGCCTGGGGACGATGTTGCTGGACCATGTTTGAGTATGTTTGGGTATGTTGTTGACTATGTTTCATTTGTCGTCCAGCAGCCCCCTGTAGGGGGACCCGACCTAGCCCCAGGGTTATGCGGGAGGGCACGTCGCCTGGTGGGCCTGTCGTCAACCGCCACCACCATAAGTAGAAGGGGGAGGAGGACCTCCTCCTCCTCCTCCTCCTCCTCCTCCTCCTCCTCCTCTTCGTCCTCCGCATCCTCCACCACCTTCCCTCTCCAACTTACCAAGTTGTTGTGGTGGTGGTGGTGGTGGTGGAAAACAGGCCCATCCCCCGGTGGATGCGGAAGGGCACCTCGCTGGCTCGATCGCGGCCTTCGTGCCCGCCCCGCGATCGTGGCACGAGGTTTCGAGGGCCGCAAAGAGGTGGGTGATCAGTGATGACTAGGGGGGGGATATCATGGCGGGGGCCATGATACCTCCCCAGATTTCATGGCGCCTCTTCCGTTTTCAATGCGTCCCCGCCCTCCTCCCCCCCCCTGGTCCGCGCATGTGCCGCCGCCCATGATTTACGCACACACACACCCCTCTTGGACGTCCCCGAAGGTCGCGCGTCGTGCACCTCGCTCACCAGTTGCGAGGTTGCGCGTCGTGCACCTCGTGCTACGAGGCTGCGCGTTACGCCACGAGGGTGCGTGCCGTGCACCCCGCTGACCAGCTGCTTCTGCAGCGCCGCGGCGGAGGAGGAATCGTGTCGGACCCTCCGTTGGGTCTCTCTCCGGCAGCTCCAGGCCAGTGGCGCCACCGGCCTCCCCGGGCCCAGGCTGCGGATGCGAGCAGCCATCGTGCCGCTCGCCTGGAGCCACTGAGGTCTTCCGCAAGTCAGAGCCCCGAATCATCAGGGGTAACTCGGGTCAGGGCTAACTCGGGTTCGTTTTTCGGGAATCCGAACCCGAGTTACCCCGGACTCGACTTACCCCGGATAATTCGGGCGCCCAGAGCCCCGAATCATCAGGGGTAGTTCGGGTCAGAGATAACTCGGGTTGGTTTTTCGGGAGTCCAGACCCGACTTACCCCGGACCCGAGTTACCCCGGATAGTTCGGGCGCCCAAACAAGAAGAAGCGTAGAGCCCCCTTCGGGCACGGAGCAAGCGCAGAGAGGCCTAGAACCCAATGCCAAGGCGGCAGGTCCCAGAGGAGTGCCACCCCCGCCAGAGGGCGAGGCGGGGGAAACGGAGAGTATCAAACATGTGTGTGGTCGTGTGAGTATGTTGCCTGGTTGTATAACTGGCCAACTGGCAGGTTGGACGTGTCAGCGGTCCGCGAATGACACGTGTAAGTGTGTGTGTGTGTGTGTGTGTGTGTGCGTGTGCGTGTGTGCCGCCGTCTTGGCCGTCTTTTCTTTCCTGCCGCTCGCTGCCGTCCTGATTCTCCTGCGGAGCCGCCCTTGCGGCCATCCCTCTGCCGCGCTGCGCAGTTGTTCTATTTTGTCTGCGCCATCGGTGGTTCTCGCTGCATGGCCCAGCACGCCTCTTGTTCCTGCATTGGTCGTGCAGCGCCGCCCCCATGAACAATTTCCAGTGGTAGTTCTCATTAGCGGCCTCTCTGATGTTTCGCTGTGCTGGAACCGCCGCCGGGAAGGGAAGCAAATAATGTTTGTGCCGACGTCCAGCAAGATGTTTCAGTGACCCAGCCACCCCGACCTCCCGACCACTTCCCGGGGGGGCAACTCTTCATCCTGAGTTTTTTTTTTGAAGGCTCTGGGGCCCGACACGGGCCCCCTCAGGCCCAGGCAGAACAGGGTTGAACCTGAACGGTGTGTTTCGTTTTCGTTTTGTTTTCGTTTTCCCTCGTTTTGTCTTCAATCCACCCCTACCGCAAAACGAAGTCGAAACGAAAGCGGCCCACGAGATTGCCAAAACTCCGTTTAGGTCCAGACCTGACGCAGGACGTCCAGCCGTCGCGGTCTGTTTTCCCGGCGGGCGATGTCCGGATCTGGGCGGTTGCCGCTCCCAGGCCACGACCTGACCATCGACAACACCAGCCTCTTCGACCCTGCCGACCCTGCAACCCACGGCATGACCGTCGCTGCCGCGCACGCGAAGGTCAAGGAGCCCAGGGTCGAAAAAACAATTGCATAACCATCATTTGCTGGCGCTCCGCGCGGATTTCTTGGAACCGCACCGGGCCCCCCGGCGGCGCCTCCGGCGCCCATGGCGCGCGGAGCGCGCCAGGGAGGGGGGGGGGCAACGCAGATCCAAGAAATCCGCGCGGAGCGCCAAAAATTGATGTTTATGGCGGTTTCTCTTCTTCTACAGTGGAGGCACCTCCTGATCTTCCTTCCCTCTCCTTCAGGAGCCCAGGGGAGGCACCTCCTCCCCCCCTCTCCTCCTCCTCCTCCTCCTCCTCCTCCTCCTCCCTCCTCCTCACCTCCTCCCTCCTCCCTCCTCCCTCCTCCCTCCTCCCTCCTCCCTCCTCCCTCCTCCCTCCTTCTCCGTCTCCTCCTCCTCCGTAGCCATTTCGGCTCAAGCCTGCCTTGGGCGCCAGGCGGGCGGGGTGCGCGGCGGTTCCCACTCCCTCGTTGGGGTGCGCGCCTCTGTCTCTTTCCCCGCCCCCGCGGCCGCGCTCGAGCCATGGCACGGTCCCCTCCGGCGGCGACGCTGGACCCGGCGTCCTTGGCCCCGTTGGCCCAGGCGGCCGCTCAGGGAGCGGCGGCGGGCGGGGCCGCCCCGAAGGGCATCGCGGCGGCCGTGGCGGCGGCGCTGCGCACGGGGGCTGGGCTCGCCCGGGGTGAACAGCACCAGGATGTCGTGGACGAGGTGATGGGGCGGATCGGCATGGTGGTGCCCTCGCTCGCGGAGTGGTGGTGGCAGGAGCCTGCGCCGGTCCTGCTCCGCGTGTCTCTGGCGGCAAGCGGGCCTTCCGCAACGCTGGGCTGCACGTGGGCCTCGGCTGCGGGGCGGAGAACCTTCCGAAGCCGGCGCGGGAGGCCAAGCAGCGGGGCCGTGGCGGCCGCCGCTGCCCCTTGGCGAAGCAGGGCGTGGAGGAGCGGAGCTTGTCGAGTTCGGAGTCGACTGGCGTGACCGAGTCCTGCAAGACCACCGACGAGGCGAAGGAGGTTGGAGCTGCCATGTGCGACGGGGAGGTGTTGGTCCTAGAGAGCACGAGGTTGGAGCTCGTGACCGAGGAGGTCGGTGAGGAGAAGGACATCGACATCGAGGCGGAGCAGATCGAGGTCTGCGATGTGAAGGTCCGAGGTCACGAAGAGGGCCTCGGTGGACGAGACTGCGATGGGCACATCATAGAGCGCAAGTCCGTGAACCCAGTCGGGGA